ACACACACACACATACACATACTATATATATATACTGCCATCCTGTGGTCATCTGCTGTCACTACACACTGCACCTCTCAATATGAGTAGATCTCATTAAGTATCTTTGGAGAGTTTTCCGTTCTATTAGCCAACAGCTGCAGATCAACCAGCTTGAGAAAGCTTGCAATGTTTAAGTCCATTTGTAGGTCTCATTTTATGTTATGTGTTCAGAGCCTGATATGTCAAAATTCCCTAAATAAAGACCCTCTTGAATTTAAAGTACTTTTAAAACAAACAACAAGGTAAACCTTTTTTAGACTTTCACAACTAGCATGTTTGCATAGTGTGTTTTTGCTCTAGCCACTGCAAATCAACCACACAAGCTAAAATTCCACCAGTGTCTTAATTTGAAAGCCGATCCCAATATCACTTAAGTGATGACACGTCTTCATGCTGTGATTTTTCCTTGTTCATGTCATCAGAATTCAGAGAAATGAGGTCTGTCAAAATCAGATGTGCTACTTCACACAAAAGTGTCATGATTTATGAAACTGCTACTGCTGTTAGTTCTTCTACTACTCTTTTCATGTTATTCATAGTTTATTTAATGTACATTACCATTTTAAAATCTGTGGTCATCCTCCTTTATCTGGTTTTTATTTTGACATTTAAGCAGCTCAAATCCAGTCAATAACCTTAAATTGTACAAAGCTAAGAAGTAACATGCCAGAGTTAACAGTCTTCCGAAATTAAAAGTATGTGTAAATTTGATGAAAAAAAGCCCTTTTTCATGAATCAAGTATTCGGTTAACTTTTCTTTTTCTTTGCAATGGAAGTAAATGAAACCTTGAAAATTGATGCGATTCCTACAAGTATTCCAGCATTCGTTGATTACGTACAATAATAACTTCAGTCTGTACAAAGGCAGTGTTGGAAAGGACTGTGTTACACATTCTGAAGCATTATTTGGAAAAGGAAACGAACAATTGAAGTCAGACATTGCAGGGTTCCATCCTATAGCAGGATAATGACCCAAAGACCAGGACTGTTGGCTTCAAACAATGGAGTGGCAGCACAGTGTCCAGACTTTCCAGGTGAAGTATGAAAGCAAAGCATCCTGCAAGTGCAACACATCTGTGGGAACCTCTGCAACAGTGTTATCTATCCCAAAAATATTTGATTTCAGTTGTAGACAGAATGTCACAAGTGTGTTTGGCTGCTGAATTACAGTGATAACAACTGGAAAAATGGAGTTGATCCCAAAATTTTGAATGGTAGCGTATACAGTTCTCGCTGATCAGTCCTGAATAAATTCATGGTTCACCAGGCTGAAAAATCTAATCGAACTGAGTCACTGATGAGCCAGTGATTCATCCTCGAGCCAATACACGTGAACTTCAAATTCTAAGAGTTCACAGATACTTTGCCATGGAATGCGAATGCACCAATAATGTATGAAACGGTACTTACTGTGAATTGCTCCTGTGATTTGTAGTTCTCATCAAGGTAGACGCAGGCTCTGCTGTATTCCTTCATGGCATCAGTGGACAACAACTCTCTGATGGGGAGAACACACACACAGATAGATGAGGACATGTTAGTGGAAAGGAAATGTTTGTCAAGTTCAAGCACAATTAAGAATTTGTGCTGATACAAGATTGACACTATAAGACATTCTATAAAAAGATAACATATTTTGTTGTGCTGTTGTACAGCCTTGATGTCACCAGTGGGGGGAGTAGTCCACTTAGTTTAAAATAAACTATTCCTGCTTCTTCCACCAACCATCAAATGGGTGTTTCCTTATCAGAGACTTTACTGAACTATTACCACTTTGCTCAAGATCATTAGCTCAAATAACCACATTATAGGCCCAGTACTTACTTGACAAAACTATCCACATGTGTCATGGACGCCTCATAATTCTTCCCACCCACCTCTTGACAGTGCACTGCCAAGAAGTGAGGCTTATGTGACTGTACTGTCTGTAAGGGAAGGAAGAGAAAACATGTCAAAAAGAAAACAAAGAGATAAACAGTTCTACTGCACTTTAATTTTCAGTGCATGTGCCTCCACAGCAGCTGAAATAGTACTACAGTAAGCCCATTACCACATCATAAACAAAACTTAGATTGAATTATTCAGCCAAGAATATACCTCTACAATCATTCCAAACTCGACTCTGTGACATGCTACTATATTTATCCAAGACAAAGTGCCTTGCTAATATAGCCAGAAGGCACTTAGTGAGCTTGCCACAAGCATGGCATCACCCACCACCTTCATCCACCTTCAGGGATATCCCTCCAGCTCTGCATATACTGTATGTACAGCAGGGTGTGACAGATGCTCACACGTCACCACTTATGCTGGCACATCACTCACTCTAGCACTAACAACTTTGCTGCTCCTGTGATATGCCAGGAATCCTTATTAGAATGTGTGCTCAATATAAACCTACATACCTTTTGTAATGAATGCAAATTGGTGATTAGATAAAGTCAAAGCAGAACATTCACTTCTGGCAAACTACCTGACCCAGAGTGACCTCAGGTTGCTTTCCATTAACATCCCTCTCACAGGTTGCGAGGTGTTTGTAAGCACCCTGACAGAGGTGTTCAGAGCAGCTGACCACTAACAGAAAGTCGATATCACAGAGTGATTTACAGCACGAACAAGCACTCATAGGTTTGTGCCTGCAGGTGGTAGATGGCTCCTGGACCTGAATGGAACCCTGCTACTTCACCAGCACCCCACCTTTGCGTTGCATTATGTCCACTCCAGATCCAATCAAATAAAAGTAATATGTGGCAATAACACTAAGGATTTTCCATCAGCCTATGGCTCATCACTTAGCTTGATGACCCAGGAGCAGTGACATACAGCAGCTCAAACTTGGAAAGATTAGTGGACCTATGAACTCGCATAAGCAGAGGTCACACTCTCAAAGAGCTCACAACTAATATCAGGCTCACATGTAACATGTGAAATGTGTTTATGCGTGTACACACGCTAACATGCACATGCTGGCAGCATTCTATTTATCTTTCCAGGCTGAAAATTAAGGTCTACATTGACAGACAATATCCAGGTGATTATTTCATTAGTGCTATCAGCTCTAAACCAAACAACAGTCACAACAGCACTTTATTGTGGAGTAAACCTGGAGCACTTATCCAATTAAATCTACCACTACACTCGAGAAAGTCTGTTGACATTTGAGTCAAAATATAAACATGCCAAGTACTGTATGAATAAGACATGATTTTATGATGGGCAACAACAGTAATGAACTCTTTAAACAACCGCCAGACAGTGACAGGCACCGTGACAATGGTGAGAAAAGCCAGTCTAGCTGTGCTGACATGACTAACAGAGCGCTGCCATATGGGCCCAATTCTCAACCTCACAGGGATATCAGCCACTGATGGGTCTGATGTGGAGCTATACCTTGCCATCCTCTCTCTGTTCCTCTCCTTTCTTACCATGACCAAATTCTGATACATTTAAATGCCAAGGATGTTCCTATTTGTCTATGCCCAGGTACTTTCTCTATGTCATCCATAAAACTCACCAAGACTCTCTGCTATCTACAAACTTCTGCTGTGCTCAGTCCTTTCTGTGCTGCTGTTATCACACACATCTGGACTTCTTCTTCTGTGAAGCTGTGACATTCAGCCCACAACTATCTAGGTCTTATGGGTAACTGTGTATGCCATAGGCCATTAACCACATAAATATTAAATAAACAATGGTAATTGATCCGTTTTCAAAAAACTACCTTCTTTATCTAAACATATGAAGTGGGCTGCACAACATGCTGTTGAAGAAGGCTGGATTTTTGTGTGTCAGCATAATTAGAAGCACCATGTTCAGTTTAGCTCTCTATTGAGAAGGCTAGAGAATATTACTCCAAATACAATGCATGCTGGGAAGTAGGCTGTTAAATTAACAATTCTTCTAAGCAACTTGATTTGATTAGTTAAGTGAATGTTCAGCTGAATACTTTATTAAACCCAAGCACTCTATAAGTTCTGCTTCCAAAAATAAAGAAGGCGTTAAAATAACTTTACCACATTGTAATGAATCACAGCTAGAGAGTATCAGCGTGCAAGGCTCAAGCACTTTTTTTAACATCTGCTGAGGAGGTAATGTTTTTGGTTCTGAGTGTGTGTGTGTTGGTTAGCAGGATTATGGACAAACTGGTGGATGAATCATCAGCATACTTGGTACTGACATTGGTGGGGACCGACCCTAGAAGTGATTAGACCTTGGCTGAAAAAATGTCAAAGGTCAAGGTCACAAAACAATTTACATATTTTAACCTGGGTGGGGGGGCTAGATCATATCTTTATCAAAAGTTTTCAAAATCATTTTTTGTTTGAAATTTGACGCACATATGTAGGGTGGCAATGTCTGTCACCAGACCAAATTTGATCCGTTTGTGATCTGGATTCCAGATTGGATGGCCATTTAAAGTCAGCCTTGAAAACCCCATTTAATGCATATTTTCTGCCATAACTTGGCCTATAATGAAGACAGAACAGAGTATAATTGCCTAAAATACCCTAAAAGATGATCCAGATCCAATCCAGACGGAGGACTTTAGGACACATTTTGTGTTGTTCTGGATCTAATTTTTCACATGGAGCCCATTTGCGTGAGCGAATGCTGTGCCTTGGCAGAGGTATGTGTGCTCTCTGAGTGCTCTTGTTAAAGCAAGAGACTGCTTGGGGTTATTGTCACAACTGGTTTTTATTTTTACCTTTAAAAATGTTGATTATTCATATCTCTACGGCCCAAAAACTTATTCTCTTTTATGCTAAATATTCTAACGACATTTTTTTACAATTTAGTTCACCTTCACAAACAATACAGAGGTCAAAAGCTGCAGTGTGCACTAGATATCATCTACTAGACTGAGGGGCTGTCAATGAGGATTAATAGGGAGAACCTTGCTTTACTGTTCTACTCTGGTGCATTCACACACTTAGGTGAGTCCAAAAGCATAATATGGGAAATACCACATGGGGCCATGGGAAATGGTCTGAAGTTAATTTATTTCTTTATTAAGAGATCTAACACTGAAATGAGAACACCTTCCTTCCAAACCATCCATATATCAAGTAGGCCTAAGGTTCCAACAGACTGGTCAGGTGTTGTAATATAATTCTAACATCAAATCAATGAACTATGTGATGTCCTTCAACACTCTGTGTGTCTGCTTTTACTGACAAGAGTGGATGTGGGAACCTGACACAATCACTGGCCTGTGATGGCCCAGAGAAGTTTCTAATGCAAATTGGCTGTGGGATTATTCAAGTTCAGTGTGGTGCAATGCAAAGCACTGTTTATACAACTGCAGCAGCAAAATCAGATTTCATGTTTGGATTCTATTTAATCCAGCATACTGCACACCTATGAAGCAGGCAAATGTCCCTGCTTTAGTTATGACAGGGATATCCTGAGACAGGGCCAGAGACATGAAGTAGGAATCGACTTGGAAAAGCCCTTTGTTACTGCACACATCACAGGATGCCTAATGTTAGCAGTGTATCTTTACTTTTTCACCTACAACCCAGGGCCCGACATTAACACCTGACCGTGGCAAGTAAACTCTATGTTCGGAGAAGTGGAATGCATTATGCAGTTGCCTGATCAGGCAAGTGGAAAAAAATATGCGATTGAATATTTTTCCCTGTTGAAAACAACCATTGTTGTTAGCCCTCTGTGTTTACTTTGCCTTGATTCTGTGAACTGTGTCTGCCGACCAATCAAAGGCTGTGTGTTCCTGACTTGTCTATCAATAATAGATAATGAATAAAATGAAAAAGAAAAACCAAAAAGGGCGGTGAAACACAGATGCTGTAGAAATATGAAACAAAAGTATATTCAAAGCTGGTCTGAAATTTTTTAATAGGCCTCCATTTTCCACTTTTGAAAAGTAAAAGTTTTGGGCAAGTAAAATATCTCAGCTACTTGCCCAAATATGTCTTTTGCAGAATGAGAAGTTAGAAATTTCTGCATCCTTAACTGTAACTAAGCCTGATGACTGTCTCTGCACTCCCTCCTGTAATTTGGTTTTATGACATTCATACCAGCTTTTGAACACTTGAAGAAATGGTTAAATGAGTAATAGCACAAACTTTGTTTCATTTTGTTATATCAGGTTTTACATGACTAAGTGCTGTCTGCCAATAGCTGTTTCTCTACACGCCTAGAACCGCACATTCTGAAGTAGATTCCTGTAAAATGTCCAGATTATGTTCTTACAGCTGCAGACATGATCTGCAGACATCTTGGCACAGTTCATCTTTTTCTCACCTGCCTGAATAAACTGACAATGCAGTTTGTCTAAATTGCTGCATACATGGTATGAAGAGGCCAGAGGGTGGAAAATCTCTGCAAAATAAGTCAGTGTGAAAGTCAGAAAGATACAAGGAGAACATGAGAGACAGATCAGAGTGAGCAGCACTGTAGAAGGTTCTGCAGCATCTGGTGCAAACATGCCGATGAACGATGACTGAGATGTGTCATAAAATAAATAATCCCATTTCCTCATGGAATTCCCTTAAGCAAATGAATAACTGAAGGAAACAGCTAGGATAACACACAGACATACTTTACAGACTGATATAAAGATACTGTAGAAGAAGTACAAGTGCCAGCAAGCAACTCTGCACACTGTTCCGGTCATAGCTCTATAAAAAACAGTTTGATAGCATGAAGTGTTTATTTTTCAGGATGCTGTGGTGTGATTCATTCTGATACATAAAAAGTGAGACAGCTTTTTCCTTGCAAACCTGCAAGTCAGTAACCCTTGACAAGGTGCATAATGCATACAGATGCTTTGAAGCAGCAATGCATGCAGTATTTTTGTAGATGATACAGTGTGACCTGGCAACACCAGTGTCAAATCTCTTCAGATGTTTCCTAGTGACAAGATGCGCCTACATAATTAAATCAACAGTGCTGATTCCATTTA